CGTCAGATTATGCGAGTATCGGCAGCTAAGCTGAAACCACTGCGTTCCACCGGTTTTCTACGCTAATTACGCATTGTCAACAGCCGTATGATCGTCTTTTCCGACGTAGATTCCTTACGTTGATACCGTTGACGTTTTGGGGGGTTGGGAAATTCTCATTGATTGATATTGATGAGGAGGTTGGGATCCAGTTCATTTCGGGATAAGGATCACTAGCGAGTGAAAATCATACATTTCAAGTTACTGTCTCGGAGATATTGAAGAGCTTTCTGCAATTTTTACAAGTTCTTCCTGAAAATATCAAGTTCGAATTTCATGAAGGTGAAGTTCTTTTAAAGGTATCACTATATCTCTTATCTTATGATAATGTAGATACATGATTTAAGAGAATGTAAACCGTGGCTAAAGTGCCAAAGGCTTAACTCTAGAGAGATTCATCATTGACTTATACATCAGTTTTGTATTGCTAGTAGTGTCGATGCATAGCCCTCATAATAACTTATCTAGCTCACGTAAATTGGTCTGTGGGATGCTGATCTATCCAAGACGCGAAATCAACTTCTTTTTAGCCGAATGTGATTTCCCGCAAGCGACCCTCTACCGTTGATCTCCGCCTAAATACTGCGCAACATCCCTCAGTTCCAAGCTGCCATGACCGCTCCATTCATTTTGATGAACGTGTTCTCGAGAATCTGCTCATCGCTGAGGTGAGAATTCCTTGCATTTCAAGACTTTTAGATCTATCTGGATAAACATTCAATCGAAAATGGATTCTAGGAGAATCTCAAGTCCAATCATCTCTACTTCACAGCGGTTCAAGAACACATCGAACCAATTCATCGTGAACAAGCAGTGGAGTGGATATATGATGTGGCAAAGGTATAGTAATGCCTTATACTGCTGTCAGAATAATAATGAGCTGTGATTATCTAGGAAGAGAAGTGTGATGCGGACGTATTTCCGTTGGCGGTGTCGCTCATTGATCGTTTCCTCTCCTTGCAAAATATATTCCGACAAGACATTCAGGTACTATTCTTCGTTCTTGAGCTTTTCTTTGGATTGAATTTTTGATTTGGTCTTTAGATCTCTGTATAGGGCGGTTGCTTACCGTATGATTATAGGTCTTGGCTGGCGTATGTTTATTTATTGCTAGCAAGGTTAAGGCACCGCAACCAATGAATGCGGCACGTGTAGCATACTATACAGCGGATAGCGTGAAGGTTCATGATGTTCTGGTAGGTTTTAGACGGAGTATCTCTCATTGAGAGACCAAAATGTTTTGAATTGCTATTCTATTCCCTTCTAGAGCTGGGAACTACTAGTTCTGGCCCATCTGAACTGGGAGATTACTTCACCCACCGGGTTCGACTTCTTCGACCACCTATCAGCTCGACTTCCTTCGCTGCAAACCTTACGACCAGCATTTACCTCGATTTTGCACAGGATTCAGCGTTGTAGGTTTCCTTTTCTTTTCCCGTGATTGAGATTACCCTTAGAGAAAAAAGGCGCGCTTCTTCACAAAATTTGCAACATGTCGCGCTCTCATACTTCCCGCCTACCATTTCGATTCCGCTTAATCTGTAAATTGTTGCCGCGGTGTTCTTTACCGTGAACTAATCGGATCT